ATATATATATATATATATATATAGAGAGAGAGAGAGAGAGAGAGAGAAAGGTGATTGCAGTTTTTGAAATGAATGCTACTTACTCCGACAACCATCATTTATCATTTGCATGAACTAGGATTTTATAAGACTATAAGACTTGACAAAACTTTCGTATAGAAATATATGTTGAAAGAAAAACAGAATAGGAATAAAGCCAATTAACGAAAATAAGAAATCTATGGGCAGATTTGAATTTCTGCTTACTTCCAATAAATTTTTTGTATCAGGCAAGTCTTTTGCGTATGGTATGTGCAAATCGCTTATATTTTTTCGTTGTTTCGTGATCAATCCATCAATATCTAATAGATAAATACGATTGTATGCCTCACCCTTTGATAAGCCTTCAGCCACCATTTGCGAAACACACATTTCAGCGATACCCATGGAAGCCTAAAATTGCGCAACGATTTAAAAAGACGGGGCAGTAAATGATATAATAATCAATAAAAAGATTATTCTTTAGAATTCTCAAATTTGAAAATTTTTCCAAAATTCATAAGGTTTCACTTACAGTTCCCGCACCCAGAAAAACAAATTTTTCATCTGATAGCGGTCTACCGGTATACTTCGAACAAGCAAGAAGACCAGCGACTACGACAGATGCAGTTCCTACAATTTTGGTATCTGATGATGTCCGATCACTTAGAAAGAAATGAGAAGGTACTGGTAAAGTGAAGAACTAATATTCTTGAAAGAATTTCTTTAGATTCGAAAGTACAAAAAAATGACAAAACAAAGCCACAGTTGCCTTGTATATCATCGTTAAATGTGCAGTATCTGTTCCTGTACTTTTCTAACAAACGGTAAGCATTCTGATTTGCAAAATCCTCGAACTGCACAAGCACTTTCTGTCCAAATCTTGAAGAAAGCTAACAATAAATTTTCACAAACATCATAATAAAGTACTAACGATTCGAAAAAAAAAAAAGATCTGACTCAATATATACGCACTTCTAATTAAATGACCAATATATATGTATATTTCGGTCATAAACTGTAAATGATCACTATATAATGATAATTCAGCAAAATAAATTGAGTTATAATTCTCAAACTGTAGTTAATCTTATTTCTTTCTATCAGTAACACACACGTTCTCATTTCTTTCCAATTCTAATACTTTTTAATATAAGAACCTAAATTAAGTCAGATCATAACCGTTATATGTTATATGAATTATTCACAATACTTGGACAAAAATGAAAACTCGTTTTCTTTACGATGGCATGACCAAACAAATTTTAATGACACACTCAACACAATAAAACGTTATTGTGTATACCTTTTCCTGCAAGCTAACAAAAAATTGTCAATAAGCTGATCATATTCTTCACCGCGAACACGCTTACGACGTAAACCAATGTAAAACGGATCATTCAATAGCTCCTGAAAAATAATAGTAATTATGCAAGAAATTTATTAAGAACTTTAAGGAAAAAAGATATTTTTTGTTTCAGTTACTTCGTTATTTGTGCCAACATCCATTAGTACAGGAAGGCACCATTTTGGTTGTACACCACCTAAAGCAACGTATAATGCCAACTTCCCGACAGGTATTCCAATACCATAACATCCAAGATCACCTAAACCAAGAATACGCTCGCCATCAGTAACTACAATTGCCTAAAATTCACATCTGTAAGAGTTGAACTGATGTTTTAGTGAAAAAATATGAAATAATATATGTAGTCACACAGCAGATATTTATTAATTTACAATCTTAGTGATAAAAGTGACATTTTGCATTGAGGCACTGAATTTTATGAAATATTAGTTCCTTTTAAGAATTGCTTAACTAACCCACTGATTCTTAATAAAGTCACTAATTGCTAGGAGAATGTAGGTGGTTTAAAAATCCTTTACAAACTTTTCAGTCATTAGAAAACAAAGTCAAACACTACAAATTTTGCAGCTAATCGACTCATACTCAATACATTATGATTTTTTTCCAAAAATTGCTGAAAAGAAAGTAATGAATCATTTCAAATTAACTTCTATTTAAACTTAGAATGATATCGATGTGCTAGTTTTTCAAATTAAAAAAATTTACAAAAAACTTACTCGAACATCTTCTTCTGGCCAATTGGACAAGATGTGATGAATTTTACTGATACTGTTATCGTTTATGGTAATATAAAGACCTCTAAAATGATTTTGCAAGTACAATTTGCCATCAAATTTCATGGTCAGTAAACTTAATTAATTTACTTTCTACTTTTGAACCCATGCATGTGTAGGTTTAACGAGAAAATTTTAGCAAGGAAATCAATAAAAGACGATATATGAGAATTTATTTTCTCTAACAGAATGAGCGCTTAATCAATACAAAAAAAATGTCACGGTGGAAGTATTTATTCCCAGAAGTCAGTTGATTCAGAAAATTTTTTCTTTTTGCAAAGAATGAAAAAATGTGTTTGATAGTTCACATAAAAGCAATGAAAAGTACATTGCAATATTTCATGCGTAAAAGTCAGATTATTTTCTATCAGCAGCGTATAATTTTGAAGTTTTTCAGTATTTTAAAAAGTCATGTGATTCTTGAAATCAATTACTTCGGTTTTCGGTAAATATATCCAAAATTCTGACACGCTAAGCCAACTGTTGGTGTATAGACGATTGGCATCAATTCTTTAACATTTTCGCATAAAACTCGGTAGAATAATTTTTCATTTCGATCCTACAAAAACTTAATAATCAGAGTGAAGAAAAAGAAACGCAAGCAGTTGCCATTGTAAGTAATTTATTCTTAATTAAAATGTTGATAAAAATAATCAAGTCTAAAATGTGATAGGGTATCAGTTTTATTACAAGTCATTGTGATAAGTATAAAACAGAATTATGTGGTAAGGTAATATTGAAGGAAATGAAACAAAGAATATAATTGCATACATGGATAAATGAATTTAGAAAAGTGAATTAAACAATAGTCATCGAAGAAATAATATGTGAAACAACATAAAGATGAAAAAAAAATTGATATTATAATAAGTAAGACAAAAAAAAGAAAAAACAGTAAATTAACTATAAAATTGAAAAAAGAAAAATTATTATTTTGTGACTAATAAAAGATTGTGATTGTAATAAATTTTGATTTCAAAAATGTAGCACAACTGCTCTACAAGAATTAAAAATTTTTACGAACCTGCAAACCATCTAACTGGATATATCGTGCAAGATCATTAGGTTGTTGTCGAAGTTTATGAATTATTCGATATGCTTGCTGCTCTTCTGTCATAAATGCTGGTGGAAGCATTCCATGTATTCCAAGATACTGTCGTTCAAATAAACCAAATGCCATTCCCTGGAGAATAAACGAGTAACTATAATTAGATACAAAAGCTTTAAAATATAAAATTGTAAGCATGATTAAGAGTGTGCTATTTAAACGTAAGGTGAAATCGTGATAGATGATGAGCAAAAAGAGCTAAATGCCTTTATTTTTGAAATTAACAGGACCATACATAAAATTAAACGATAAAATTAAAAGAGAATGCAGTATGTTTAGAAAATTTGAATGCAAAAGTGATTTAAGTTTTTATATACGCACGAAAAAATCACTGCTTTATAAATTGTAAAATTACTAATTACGAAGACTAAGAATAATAATAAATGAATATATTGATCGACAAACTTTGTTAATTCGACTGTCTTTTAATAAATCCATTCCTCGCTTTTTAGGTATTTCACGCTCAGGTCGATATAACTTATACAGCGTCATATCTTGATCAGATAACGCTGGCTGTTCAGTAGAATCCGAATATTTCGTTGTCGAAGTACATAACATACGCAGTGCCCTGAAAAACAGAACTTTCATTACTATTATCATTATTACTACTATAACTATTATTAGCAATAAACATGAAACATTTAAAAAATTACACCAAAAAGGAGTCATGGCCTGATTTCAATACCTTTAAAACCGTACGAACTTTTTATGCTATTATAATCTCAAAGTTGTTGCAGACATAATTTGAACTAGAACTTTTACTAAGTGATGAAAGTTTGATTGCTTAACATAACCTGTGACTGATCATTTTGAAACATAAAAAAGTATCACTGCTCAATAAGCGAAGCTGAGCCGGCAGCGCCATTTTATGACCTGGCAAGCAATATGTACATTAGGCGATTACATAATTATTTTCAGGTAACATTTCTCAAACAAAATAAATGTTTCACTAGAAAAATTAACGCATTGGTCAACAACGAATAATGAAGAATAAACTATTTTTGCACATTTGTCATAAAGACCGAGTTATCTAGCTATAATGTTTAGAGATGAAAAATACTTGTGGGTTTCAATAACAAAGTAACACTTAGTGTATTAAGCGGAATAAAGTAAAACTAGGAGTGGATGATCAAATCACCAAAAAAGTTGGAAGTGATTTTCGGCAGAGTCATTGTACAGCGTAAGCAAGTTAGGCGGAAATATGTCAAACAAAAAATTCAGTAAAAGTTTTGCAACAGTTAGCAATATAATATTTGTTAAAAAAGAACCAAGTCATAGAGCGGAATTTTACTTGCAAAGTCATGAAGAGAGTAACTGCTTTTTTTGAAACAAGCATTCGTGAGAATGAGCTTAGAAAAGTAGTAAATGGGGTCCTATGAAACAAAAATAGTTCTGTATTTTGTAGAATTTGAAATGAAGCGATAAGGAAACGAAATGGTCAAGAATAAACCATGTCACAAGAAGAGTCAATAAGTCATTTAAACCCTCGAACAGAATTTTTTTGGTACTAAAATCAATGAGCACTTTCACAACTACAGGTTTAACCCAAAAAAATAACCAAAGTCGATGAAAAAAACTGATCAAAAAAAAAAGAAAATCGTAAGGAGATAAACAATTTGGAAAACAAGCAATAATTAGCACTGCTAAAATTTAAATAACATATTATTATTGTAAAAATTTCAGAACAATGAGGATGCAATCGGTATTAATCAGTAAATCAGCATAACAGAAGTCAGCTGTAGAGAAGCAACTATCAAGATACACAAATTTTCTTGAATCTGAAATAAAAGTAGTGACAGATGAATTAATTCATGGAATAATGACATCAATAGATCTAAAAGTCACAGAGACAGAATGTCAGATTGATAATTCATGCGATGTATGTGAATATAGTAATTGAATAAAGCAATGTCAACTCGCTCGCGCAGATACTCAAAAGAAGGGAATAGTACATAAAGAATTGGATTACTGTTGTACTACTTAAATTTGGTTTAAGTTCAACCGATCTTTCTATTCACTAAAGCAAGAATTGCAAATTATTTTTAATGCTGATATTATTCATTACTGGCAACATAAGCATTCATAGACTAGAAATGGATTTCTTCGCTAACTTCAATGATTGACCCAACTATGCAGATGCCATTTTCATAGACTTATATAAGTACAGAAATACAGTCTGAGTCATCTATTAGTAACTTATGCAATACAGTAAGGATGATGAAGATTACAAGACAAAATGCAAGAAGATTCATCCATCATCTGTTCATTTTTCAGTTTCTTTTTGCAGCAAAAATAACAAACGGTTTATATAGTGAATCCTCAAGGTAACATTGCGAAGAAATGCAAAAAGTAGACCTCACAAGAGGTCATTAAAGCGAGTATACATTGAGCAGCGCGGAGGGAGTGGAAATCACGGATGATAATTGTTTTTACTTTCTTTTTGAATCTTACCTGAGATGAGTCACTCACTCTTTGTCCGTCTCTTCTTTAGCAAACATAGTTTGTACTGCAGACTCGGCAAAATTGAAGATGGCAGAAGAAATGATTAATAACCAAGAAATGACCCTTTATATTTCATTTCCGTACATCACAATGATTGATCATTTATTGTTAGTACTAAAAAAAATCATTCCTCCCTGAGTCATCACTTTACTCGTAATGATGACATCACTGTGGTATTTTTATTTTGTATTCATTTTTATGCAAGTCACAAAATGCGTCATTTTCCAACGTAAAAAAATTGAAGAAAAGATTAGACTTGTCACTACTGCACCATACTTGTTGATTATTTACTCGAACATATCTTACACACTACAGAATTTGTAAAAAGAAAGTGCAAATAAGCTCACACAATGATCATTTCAATAGAGTTAATATTTTTTGTCAAATTTTTAGTTTATTCAGCCTACTACCAGACTAACAGATTAGCAAACTTGCAGTACAGCAAAGATAATACTCTTGCCGTATAAACTATCATTCGTTTTTTCGATTCCACAAAATGCAACTGACAGATTTTTCTGAGCTGGGGATTCTGAGATGGAGATAGATAAGAATAATCGTTGTTTTAAAGGAAAAACCTAGCAGAGGTGGTGAGATGAGGGTGAGGATGAGGATAAGGATGGATACATACGCACATTGGCAGTATTTACAGTGCTTTAATCATCAGTACTATCTACTAACGCTGTTAATAATCTGACCTAGTTCATAATTGTTAACATCACTCTACTCATCTTTTTTCATCTAATACAGATTTACACACGCACGTAGACATAACTACACACCCACGCAAACAGACAATCAGACACACAGTACCCATGGGGATTTCACGTGACTTTCATCTGCTCTTACTGGCATTAGTGACCCGAATTGCCGTCAGAACAACACCAACTACCTCTAACTGGGCACCTCCCCACCTGCTCAGTAAGCCGTAATTCATATTTGTTCGCAAATGACTATTTATTTTAATGCAAATTCTTCAACGCAGTTTCGATCACACATACAAACACAAGTGAATTGTATGGAGATTTTTTTAAAGCTCATCAAAATTTGAATGATTGCTTTTTGAGGCATAAAAATTTACTGTATACACATAAGAGAAGCAAACGTGACGTGGTTGTAGACTTAAAAAGTAAGTAAATATCGATGTGTCCAATAAAGTTTATATCAGTTCATAGTTCATACATGCTTGTTCATACATACATGATGCATAAAATTCACATGCGCCATGTTTTAAAACAACGGACATGGATTGAAATGGAAAGGAATTAATGAAGACGAACGAATGCAAAGTACTTACGGATATTCACATATACAAACAATTCATTCGTACACTTCTATCTCCTTTGCAGTCTACTCATTACTTCAAATCCATAGAGAATAAACTCAGATACGTATTGTATGTTACACGTATTAGCATAAATTAAATTTAATTAAGCTACTTTGAAGAGAGATATGGGATTAAATAAATGAAGAATTTTTTGCCATAAATATAAAAAGAGAAAAATTGCCATATTCAAATGCAGCGGAGACGTATGTTATACTCAAATAAGAGTTATAGCAAGAAATAAGTGTGTGATGTGATGCAGGAGATGGTTTTTAAATGCAAACAGCATGAGATCTGGACAGACACAAAATGACTGACATTTGTGCGTGTCTGACTAGAATTCCGCGTAAGTATTATTCAGGGAAAGAGTAGTGAGTAATTCAGAGTTCTGGGAACTCACTGACAGATAATTTCAGACTGGTGACTATAAGAAAGATATCATGAAAAGAGGAAAAGGGTGAAGTTACTCTTGTTAAAGTTATGGGCTTCAGGCAGAAGTAGCCGAGAGTAATGAATGTTTGTGCAAAGCTGTGTTTGATCACTCGGGAAAATTCTTATTTGGGCGTTGCTAGGCCAAGCATTCTCGTTATGCCCTCTGTCCCTTCTGCATTGTGTTCAACTTCTGAGTAATCATCGATTGCACTTGATGGATAGAAGCATTCTTTTTCTTTATTGATTACAGCTAGATAAATTCACCTCAAGAAAGCTTCTCTTACCTTTTGTCTGATTCCCTTCTGATGAACAGCAACTTCATCAAGTGAGATTTTGTCACGGATACCGTCCTCTTCCATTTTGTCTTCTCTAATTGCCTCTCTTAATTTACATACCTGCATACGTGTTATTTCCGTAATTTGAAGAAGCAAAGTATGCGTTGTTGTCAAAATTGATACAGTGAGCACTGCTTTGTGTTTGTAACATTTGCATACTTTCAAAACACTAACTGTCAATTACCGTTTGAGATTAAACTTGTTATTACTGGATCTCTTAATTTTACATATCTTCCTACATGTTACTCTCCTGGTCATTTTAGACAGTCTGATGCGCTAATTTTTTATTAGGGAAAGAGTGACTGTAGTATTACTACGTATCATATTGTCAGCTGATTCTATTTATCTATGATTTACTGATAACAAAATTCAACTACTTTTAACAACTTCTGTAATCATTGCTACAGTGCATGATAATGTTGCTTTGAAATAAAAAAATAGAAAATATCCTTTGCGCACTTTTCATTGAAGAAAAATAATCGTATGTATCGTAATATAATTTTAAAAATTTTTGACAACTTACGCATTTTTTCGGCTTCATTCTTTTTTATTGACAAAACCATATTTAATTTCTTTTTCATATTTCTGCTTCAAAAAACCCAAAAAATGTATGGCTAAGACGATCCTTACGATTACTTCTTACCAACAACGATACTATGACGTTCTGCTAAAGACACAGCTAGCAGATAGCTGAGAAAAAATAAATTTATCTCTAAGACTGCTGAGATGATTTTTATCCAACACGTTTCATATTCCTCTTATCAAATGCTTTACACAATCTTTTCTAAGTTTTACTGCTTGTGTATGGTTTAAAGAAAAGCTAAACAAATTCTTCCCAGATACATTTTGGAAGGGAAAAATACAGAACAAATTATTATCACTGATTCACTATTCACCCAGGCTGGGTTTTTTTTAAAAGCTGTCGTAGACTTGTTAATAACTTGGCAATTCGCTAACATGATCTATATTATCAGTGCATTAAAATATTTGGTGAATGTCAATTTCTTGCATGTGATCGTGACCCAGGCAGCTCATATCGAAAAATCACAGGACAAAAACTTGGGAAAAGTTGCAAGGAAAAAAAACGGACAAATTAAATTGAAAATGCCTGAATATTTTGAGCAAAATTTATGGAAGTAGTATTTATAAAATCGTTCCAATCACTACAGGTTTTTTCTTACGTTCAGATTGAGTAGTTATGTACGTAGTCTACGACAAAACAAATTAGGAGTTAGAAGTGTTTACGTGAAACTACTGCTTGAACTAAAATGTGGACTGCTTTGATAAGTAGAACATCACCAAATGCAGTCCAGATTTGAATTTACACGACAAAGTACAAACAGGCGTCTATTAAGAATAATTTTATAATATTTCGGAAATGTTTGTTCAGTTTAATTAAAATTTTTTATTTAAGAAACATGAATGTTTCGTAAATATCACGGAAGTCATTAAATATTAGATTTTCTTCTGCCATTAAAATTCATCATTTCAAAATTAAAATACTTAAACACTTTCGATCTTTTGCCTTCTTCCTGCTTGATATCAGTGAGCATAGCTCATTGAGTATTTGGTTATTTATTTACAAGCTATAGCAAAACATATCCTGTAAAAAAAATGGCGAGATTTTAAATTTATATCAGTTCGTTGCGTATAACACATACGCCATATTATAGTCAAGTCATGTGCATTTCAACTAAAATTTAATAGGGTAAACAGAAAAATAGTTTTAGACAAAACAGCTTCATGGACTATTAGTAATTTCAATAAGTGAAAAAAAAGAAACAATATAAAAAGTATATAATTATATATATCATCATGTAGCAAATTCTAGTTCTTACTTGATTATTTTCACCCACCTGATGAATTTATTAATGATTCATAGATTTCTTGTAAACCAAATCATTTAGTGTTTAGAACAAACTTTTGCATAAATTAGTTTTTAACCTAAGAATTCGAAAACAAAATATTAATAGACAAAGACATAATAATTGATGATAATTGCTTTTTGTAATCAGAAACTAACATTACAGTGTGAAATTTATAACAAACTTTTTGTTTAAATTTTGATACTGTTCACTGAATTTATAAATATTTCACTGGCTCAGCTGAAATTTTCTTTTAAAAAAAAGCTTCAGCAACCTCCACAAACCTCTGCAACGAATTAATAACTCAGCAAATTACTCGCCCTCCATTTTTTAATGGCATCACACGCACTAATATTTTCTGGTAGAAAGTACATATGCAAACCTCCTGATTGAATTACTTGGATAGTCATTCGTGCCACCCAAGAAGAAATTCATCAAGACCAAGCTCCTGCACTTACATACCATCAAGGACATCCATATCACAGTACCAGAAACATTTGATGTCATTACACTTGGTAATACATTGTCTTCATTCTTATCATTTTTGATAAAAACCACTGATTTGAAACTCGCTCAAAATTGGAGTAGAATGCGATATTACAAAGGAAAATTAAGAGTAGAATTGATCACGTAAGATTTCTACTGAAATACCTCGTACCTATTTTGCAGAATCAAGACCTGCACCTGTTACAAAGCCTATTTATAATATCACTTTGAAATTCGACATTAAGGATGGGAACATATGACCTGTCTACTCCATAGTTACCAAATATAGCGTCTTCAGGATTGTTAGCGTTTCTTCCTGTTGACCTCACACTTTAGACTGGAAATTTAACTTAGTAATTCGAAATAATGAAACGAAAAGGAGAATGAAAAGTTATTTGCTCATCTTTTCAAACAGTTCCAGTCTGTAAACAACCTTCGAAAGAGGTGCTGTCTGAATTTAAGTGAATCTCTTCTTTTTGAAGATTTGTTAAGAAACCAATATCTGCCAATGTTAAAAATAAACTTGAAGAAGTTTCACATATTTTTTTTCTACAGCAATTCCAATAATTGCGATAATAAGCAAAATAAGACAAAGTAAAAACAACAAATCCTGCAACAATGCCCTAAAAATATAAAATTCAAATATAAAACATCTGTTCGATTTTTCCAAACATCAGCCTTATTTACAAAAACAGAAACAATGAACAACTGCCAGAAAAGAGGATAATGTTATTAGCATTTTTAGCATACTCACCACACTATTTAGAATATCTAACAGCTCACTACTGTCCGCCTCATATCTGAGAGCTCCGATAAAAAAAAAACGGGCCTCAGATTATTTGATGTATCTGAATTTTGACAATTTCAATTTCGGTATTAAAGACACGTAGCTACATGTTATTAAACTATCAAAATGTAAGTAACGAAGAACGGAGAAAACAATGAAAAAAGCCAAATCACAGTAATTCAAATAGTAGATAACCAAAATAAAACGAAAGTTAAGGAAAATCAAACGTAATACATCTAATATATGAAAAGCTAAAATGAAAGCCAACATACTAATTTCTATCACATGTTTTGCTTGTCTTGTTTACTAAAAAAGTAGAAAAACTAGGAACACTTAACATAAAAGCAAGATAAAACATGATCACAAAAAAAGTGACTTCTTTACATACATGTGAACATAATCACATAATAAAAATTGGTATTATTAACAATGATTTTAAAAGGAATATCCCGAATCTTCACCCAAAATGACAAATCTTAAAAAACAGAGGACGATATGAAAAAGCCTATTGATGTAACTTTTTTTTCAGAATAAAAAAGCAAGATCAAAAAGACAATAACAACAATGTTTATACGTGTACTGTTAATTTAAAATAGTTAACAACAAGGAAAATGGAAGTCAGGACATGAAAGATAGATAAATGCAAATACATGCTTGTATAATTTTAAAAAAATACTCTAAACAACGAACAAAACCGCTCTTGAACAAAACATTTAACAACTGAAAAATAATAAATTTCAAACACAAGAATAATACTTTTATTCACATCATGCGCCTATTGACCGTAAAATCAGTAGAACAAAATCGGTACAGCTATCGACTTTGTTCTACTGTTTTTGTGCTCAGTTGATTATAGAACTAAACAATAGTTTTCTGAAGCACAAACCTATGGCTACTTTCCCATGTCTAATTTTTTCGTTTTTTTCAGAGCTTGTTAGAGTGAACTATCCAAGAGTACTGAACGAATGAAACAAGAATATTTCAAAATATGACGAATTTCATTTACCTTTTCATACCCTACATTTTTTAACCACTACTAATCAGATTTTCCGAAATCAATAGAGCTTAAAGGTTCACCCAGCAAAAAAAAATTTAAGTGACCCTTGTCAACGAAAACAAACATTTTCATAAACATGGCGAAAAGCAAAACATATCCATATAAGCAATGACCTTCAGCTTCTCATAAATTCTGATGGACTGCTTAAATTATGAGAACTGGACGATAATGCTGCTGCAGAATTAATAGATGGAAAACATGGCGACGGCACTACCCTGCTTTCTGTTTGACGTGAGTCACTGGAAGCTGAATCCGACAAAGCACGCGCCTGAAGTCTTTTAAGACATGATTTTGAATGAAAATATCCCTCATTAAAATGCTCCATACTCCAGAAGTTTATTACGTTTCATACTTATGTCCTAGTTTTATTATAATCACGGCAAATAATCCAAGTCTGATGCAACTTATTTAATCAAAGGACTAATAATTGCAACTGTACAGAAAAAAAAACATTAACTTACTGAGAGCTGTTCAGAGCTGGCTGATGAATCAGCAATTGGTGATGTTGCAGTTGGCGTCTGAGATGTGATCAACGCATTTGTTGGAGGTGTTGAAAGCGATATAATGCCAGGTACTGATATGCTGAAACAAATAATTCTTCACTTGCATGAGCAAGATGCTTTTTTTGAATCAACAAGTGTTTTAAATTTTGATTAAGTTAAATGATATCTATTATTTATTCGTTTTCTTTTAAAAGATTTATCGGCTAAAATAATTTGCTGACCTGCAATTGACTTATTTTCTTTTGCACCTACCGTACAAAATTTTAGGTGATAATTTTGGAAGAAATTACTTTGACGCCGATGAATCAGATCGTGCATCAGAAGAACTTTGTAAAACAAAAGTGCCATTATGTGGTGATCGACTGTTCTCATTGAAATAATTCAAGAATTGATTCGAAACTGAAGTAAAAAGGAAGAAGTTTAAAAAATTAAAAATCATTCAATTAGCTTCTAATGCACTAGCAGATCAATTTCAACGAGATAAACAAAAAATTATCATGCCTTCCTCACATACCTTCTTTTAGCAAAGCTTGGTCAGTAGGAGCGGATGAACCACCGGAGACAGAGATAACGTTTTGAACAATGCTGGAATAATCCTCTTCGTTCAATGGCCCTCTAGATGGAATTCGTGTTCCAGGAACTGGTGTACCAAGAACTGAACTAGAAGCAGGCACCGGTGTGCTTCGAGGAGTAGTTAATGGGCTATTCAGCGTAAACGGAACTGGTGAACCTATTGCTGAGCTGCATGCACTGTCAAACAACTGTTGCTACAAATTTCTTTTTCGTGTCATTATTTTTTACTGCTGCATTTGTTATCAAATTAATTTATCCAATTTTTCTTATAATGAAATTCTGAATTTACAGTCACTTTAAAATGAAGTAAATATTGACACAGAAAAGAGTTACCAAAGTTTTGAATTGCAAATGACTTTGAAATAGATTGATGAAACCTTCTAGATCTGTATTTTTTGATAAACTACTCAAAAGTACGAACATGATAATAAAATGCTAGCAGCCGCTGCGTTATTTTTTTTTTTAACGAAGCTCATATATTACAATATCCCACAGTTAACTACATAATTAGTCAAAAAGCTCGAGAGTAAAAGGGAAAGACATGAATTCTTGAGCGAAACTGAAGAAAAATGGCATTGTGAATCACAAACTGATAACAAAGCATTAGCAAAAAGAAAATATGAGCTTCGTTAAAGATCCAATGACTAATAAATAAGAAGTAAAAAATTACTTGTCGTGATACAATATGACTAATCTTCGCATCACGAGCCGCAGCAGCCGCTGCGTTGTTATTTGCTTCGTCGATATTAGACATGAAAGTTGGACGATGTGCTACCACAGGTCGAGGAGTGATCAAAAGCTGAGTGATGGATGAAGTTAGATTTCATAAATTCTATCTACATTTCAGCAATGAAAATAAATTTTTGAGCGATACTATTTTAAAAGAAATTCATGAGGTTAAAACAATTATTTTATTTCTCTTTTTTCGATCTATATACTGTAAAGTAGATCTTCCGTTCTCAGTCCTTCAATAAATAAAGAACTGAAAGTGCAATATTTAGGCAAAGAACTACATTTCCTATCCATAATAGTCTTTTTTACAGATAATTAAGAAAAAACATACAAGATAGTAGGATGATGAGATAAATCATTTATACCTGAGGATTTCCAGGTTTGGTAGTAAATTCTCGCACTGGTTGATCTAGTAATGCAACTTTCTTTGCAATTCTTGCTTCTACCTCAGCAACGCTGGCTACATCATGTTCTAATATGCGTCTCTCGTCCATGAGCAAAGTTCGTGAAGATAAGCCTGACAGGGACACATCCAGACCACTTATGTTACGTTTTATTGAATCAATACTTTCAATGCTGTGCAACACGGTACTGAAAATAGTTATCAGGAATATACTGATAATGTTAAAAACGACTTTTTTTCATTTAAAAACTACAACATCTCCACAAGGAATTCTTAATTTTGATTATTAAGAATTTTTGGTCAACATCGGAACATGAGAGATCAAAGAAGTCCCTAATGAGAATTTCTTTGAAGTATATTTTTTATCATCTACATGTGAAATATGTAAAAAAAACCTGAAACTAATCACATCACCACTGGATGTTGTAAACTTTGTAGGGCTTGACTGTTGCATTTCAACAATATTTACGCTTGACGAGCTTTGCAAGAGCATATCCATACAATTTTGAGATGTTAAATGTTCTTCATGATGCTCAACGGTGTTATCTTTGGTTTCGTTGTTTATTGCTGTCCTAGTCTCTTCATTCACTAACTTCGGGGAATAGTGACGTTTTCTGAAATGCATCACACTGAGTCCGAAAGATCATATATGAAACTGATTCACAAGTCTCCCAATAAACAAGAAATGATAGACAAGTAATACCCAAATTTTCAAAAAATAAAGGGAGTGAAAGCTCAGATATAAATATGAAGTATAACCAAGTATATATATTTTAATACTCTAAAACACTTTTGTACTGAATTGTATTTTTTCCTAGCATTCATTCGCAAACTTAAATAAACATTTCGTACATTTAATAAATTTTTATATTCAAACAAAAGTACCTCAACGTAATGACCTGACCAATATTTTGCGCAGCAGTAGACGAGTTCCCTACTTTGGAGTTACGAGTAAGACGAGTGAAAGCAGTCACAGGGCCTATAAAATAAAGTGCTGATAAAATAAAAAGATTAGATATCTCATTACTTTACTAGTTCGATATATACATCCAATGAATCACTACTCAGTGAATAATAAACTACTGATTTTGAACGTATTTGAGTCAAAATACTTTGAAAATATCATCTTAAATAACAAAATATATGAAATAATGAATAAACAAATCTATTTTTGTTTATATGGCTAAGCTATGTGTTACGCGCGTAAATTTAAGAAAACAGATCTAAAGTGAAACATATCATAATTTTAAAATCTTTTAATGAACAGTTCCTCCTTTTTCATATAAAAAATTATCTACAATTTTAAGTTGACCGAACCTTCTCTTACTTACACTTAGCTTTTGCCGATTTTTTAATTCAGATGATCCTAACTAATCAATCTGCGCCTAAAAAACTGAATTAAAAAAACTTATTCACTTACGCACATGCTGATAATTTGTAGTCCTTTTCACTTTTTATGTTTTTGGTTTTGTTAGTGAAAAAACCAAAAAAATAAATAATTATATATATAAGAGAACAATAAGACTCAAGATTTGGCAATAAGAGATAAAGAAAAATAAGGATACTAACGATGCTGTGTAACAGTGGACACCGTACTATTCAAAAACTGTGTTCTTTGATGATCGGAATGATACACATGAAAGCCTTCAGATAATCGATTCTGCTGATCAGCCGCACATACCGGAACAAGCAAATCATCACAAGTCGATCTACAAGTCTTTGTCAAGTAACTAATCTGTATTGATCACAAAACTTGAGATTTTCCTTTATACGTGAAGTTTTCAGTGATACGTTTGTATGAAGAAAATATGTTTACACTCAGAAATGAATAATTATAAAAAAAAAAGAACAGTGAGCTATCCGAATATATAAATCACCTAAAAATGAAGAGTGAGAACTAATACGGTCGAGGTGGTCAATTCCATACGAGAATATTTCAAGTTCAGATTTGGTTACATGAAGGCATCTTTGATTTTATAAAATAACTAACAAAATTTACTAAGTCAGTGCTCAAGTTTTGAGAGATAGACGTATCTTATTTGAGAATAACTTGACGACAACTTTTCATTTTCCATGCTTCCTTCTATTATAAATTTGATAGAACTTTATAAGCGATGTTAATTTCAAGTCTCTTGTAAATGTAACATGAATTACCATATTTTTGGCCACGTTCACACTTCGACTATAATAATTATGTTTAGATTAATCAATATCTTTAAAAATGACTTTCAAATATTTTGGAGTATCTCCATGGCGCGGACATGTAATAGGAGCCCACTGTCGTTAATTACGATCAAAAGCTTATACCACTTTAGTACTGCTGCAATCGCATTTCCCACAATTATTCATCAGACTTTTACACAAATGACAAACACTTTCACAATATTTTGAAGACATCAACACCGCTATATTTATAAAGTTATTTAAAACTACAACTCTTATTAAACACACCCTCCCTAACAAAGAAGTGACGCTCAATGAACTTTAACTTTGATATAGTTAAATTGCCATTATAAAGAAATACCAATAAAACCAACCCAGTCTCTCGTCCAACAGTACTGTGCTCCACGATTACCTCATTGATACCAATCCTTTCGATTGCTTCATGATATCTGTCCTCATGTACCTCATTAGAATGTCTAAGTGGAAGATGTATGATCATTCTTCCAGCACTATTCTTGTTGCTTGCACTCAAAGCACTGTTCCTTACTAAACGCAAATGTCCTTCATTTGATGTCGAAACTGAGTAGGGTGACCTTTAAATATTTAGTAATGGAACAAAATTCCATGCGACAATAATGTGCGTACATATTAATCAAATGTAGACTGCAGTCTCAAATACTTCAGCTCTTGAGCAATAAAAATGAAATGATTAAAAAGCTGTTTTATCGTTCGTAGCTTTCTATGGACGTACACAAAAAGGAAATGTCAGTTTCTGATGAGCAAGTTAAAAAATTTTCAAACACATGCCAAAATTGATAAATTAATACCATTAGTACTTGAATAGATGGGATAGAGTGGTAACAACTAATTTTGATCTACATAACAAACAAATACCTGACCTAATTTGTACAAGCCTCCTCTTCTCAGTTGTACCGTGTACCATATGAGTTCTGAAATGAAAAGGAAATAAGAATTTGACTAAAAGCGGTACACAAAACAGCTGATGTACACTTGTACACAGAACGTGAGATTCACTAGCGAGACAACTGAATTATGGTTCCCCATAATCCATGATTTATAATGCATTAGTTCTCATAGAAAACCTGGAAAAATAAAGCTAAATAACTTTGCCTCCGATCACGTCCACTGCTATCTCCATTCTTTTTCATATTGATATATATTGGATGACTTATCGTACGCCTACCAATTAATTGATGTATTTCTTCGTTAACACTGCCCACACTATCATGTGAAGCATGCCGACTACGCTTTTTTGTCGTTTCACCAGTCTGCAAACAAGAAACTTTTTGATTTCAATTTTTGAGAAATACTTCTATTGGATCGACTAGTTTTAAAACAGGTGCATGCGTAAATAGCAAACTTTGGCCCTTGGCAATATTTTCATTTCGTAGTTGATAATGTTTGGTATTTTTTTTTCTCTGTTCATATGCATGCACATGGAAATATGCTATATTTCAGTCACTGATTATTTTCAATATTTAGTGCGTTTTCTTTAGTAAAAATATTGACTTGGCATCTGTTTTCCTTAATAGTTCAACACTGCCATCTATTGATACAATTTTGCCATAAATTGAAAATATATTTGCATAATGGCTTAAAAGAAAAAGAAAAAGAGGAGGAAAGCACATCATTGCCAAGATCTGAATGTTCAAAATGTGGAAAAGTCAACTGTACATCTACTGCATCCGCAACTGTTACCATTGGTCCCACTTGTGCTGTTCCATTTGTGCTACCCAATTCACTGGCGCCTATCCTGGCATCTAAACATAACTATTACAATTCATGTTTTTGTATAACCTGAGATTTTCCTCGAAATATCTTATAGCCAGGATTCTAGTTAGGTATCAAGTTACAATGCATCGTTCATGATGACCAGTACTGTCAACAATTCTTTTATACAAGCTACTGTGTAGCTTGCATAAATGAGGGCAGCGAAGAAGAAACAGCAACAAATCTACAATCAATTTAAAAACTCCCACTAACATCCATCAAATGACTGAACCAAGAAACAGACTATATTTAAAAGGGGCATTTTCAGAACATCACAACAGAAATTATGAGAGACAAATTTCTAATTTGATGACTGAAAGTAAACAAACTTTAATAACAATTTTTTAGGGGGCAGAAATTTGATTACCGGTGTCTTCAATGTCATCATGTGTCTCAGATATCCTATATTCTGCATCAGAAATGGGGACAGATTCAGCATCAATGTGGTGTCTTGATGATGGAGGTGGCGGACTGCAAGATGAGTGCCATTCTAACTCGTTGTACGGTTCTTCTTTCTGTGGAATGATTCCTGGTGGGATACGAGCTTCGCCTTCAACCAATCTTATAACTGAAGCTATAAACAACAAATTATTTGTAAAAAAAAAAAAAAAAATCTTATTTACTAACTTATTTGTCATGACAAGTGTACAAAAGGAATTTGCAAATACATAATTTAACTTCGAAGCATAATATGAGCAGACAATCACATAGAGAAGGCAAAAAATAAGATTTTCAAATAGCTATTGACCAATGACAATTATTTTAATTTGGAAAAACTATCTTAGATATGAGAATAAAGTACACTAAAGCTGAACAGTGCATGCTTCGTAATGTGTAAAATCATATAAAACAGTAATGAAAACGAATGATATTACATCGCGTAAGATGGAATTCATAAAATTTGGAGATATGACATAATTTAATGATGAAATTAAAAAATAAAAAGTGAACAATGAAAGACGAAAACATGATGCAAATAGAATGCAATGCTTCTTTAATGTGACTGAGCTGTTAACTGCGGTATGTAAAAATATAAATGAAGATTAATGAGCTGACTGAACGAATCGTAGCAGAAACTAGTCAATGAACATCACAAATACATAGAATGATAAGACCCTGAACAAAAACATAAAGTACTAATAATGTGTTATCACAGCATTTTTTTTGACTACGATGAAAAATTCCAGTCAACTATTTTTATATAATTCACCATACTTTTCCTAACTTGAAAACAGATTCATCATATCGACAAATAAATCTTATGAGTGATTTAGAAAGGAAACACTATGCACACACAGAAAGAATCACAATAATGACAGATGAAAGCAAAACAAAACATGGCATATGCAAAATAAGCGAAGTAAAAATTAAAACGTACGTCTCGTCAAAGTTTTCAATTCATATGCAGTAAACACTCCTGTACCCCAAATACCTTCATGGGTAGGTAATTTTTCCGGATCTGTAAAAAAAAAAACTCTAATGCATAGAACCTTATCAGCATCTTGAATTGCCTAATCTAAATTTTAATTTCTTGATAAACAAAGCTATTAGTATAGAAAAATTTAAAGCAAGACATTGATCCACAACAAATTCCAATCTTCATGACATTATACGATTCAATAAACTTCGACACTATAACTTATAAAACCTTTTTCCTCGTCTTCTTCGTCTGCTGCGTCCGGATTTGTTGTGTGGATAAAATTCGCCAAGAATAGATCTAATTCTCGTACAGCAATACTAATATGATATGGATTAACACATAAAGTTGGGTACGCACATTCAGAACATTTTTCTAAACGTTCACCATCTGTACTTTCTAAGGGAATACCCTAAAATATATTTCGGTTCTAAATCTGAAATTTCCAATGCCCACTGAAAGATTTAGGAAATAAGAATACGAATGAATGCAATTATTACAAATTACTGAATGCTCGTACACTAGTCAAAACTTTCAGTCAAACTTATTATAGTACCTTGAATAAAATGACCATCACCAAATCCAGACGCCATACTTTATCGGCTTGTCGCAGGCAATCGATGCGTCGCATTTTACCTTTCTGGTCTGGATTCGAGAGAATGCAAACAGCTGGTCTCTGTCCTGTTACACAAAGAACGAAATCTTCTCGACAGTGAGGTTGTATATCCTTCCTCAACTTTCCAAGTAATCGTCCAGCCCACTTTTGCTTGATTTCTACTCGTTCATTCTATAAATCAGAGTTTTTTTTTACAGATAAAAATGAGAGAAAAAGAATTATTTCGTGCACATATTTATACACTTATTACATTCATAACAGTGATAAAATCCGGTTGAGCAATATTTTTATATTTGTGTAAGAAACAAAAAAATTACCATCAAGGCATCCTTGCAACTTTTCTCTTCACTTACGGTCATTCTTTTTTCATTTCTTTTCATATAACGTCTTTTTGCAGCTTGCAAATTGAACCAAACATAACTGAATTCTTTAACGAATGGTAGCAGTGCTTCCACGAATGGATGAAATTCATCCTGAAACAAACTTTATTGAAATCAAATGCAGTTATAAGTAAAAATTTTGCACAAGTCCATCTTTTACAGATTTTCTCGAATGCGCAGCACACATTTATGATAAAATAAGTTGCACAAATATTTTGAAAAGAACTAAAACATGCACAAAACTTTCTTTTTATATTAGTAAAATGACTTTTATTTTGAAACATACTAAGGTAGAAATACTAATAAGAGTTGATAAAGGAAAAAACAACAAACTTCTACAATAATGTACCGAAAATTAATCACTATTAACAAGTAATTAGACACACACAGCACTGAATCTTAACCTTTACATACCACATTGCCAGAAGGATACTGACTACTGCACAATGGATAATCGCTGATACTATTAGCCATAACTGATCAATTCTTCTTATTGTATCAAATGGTGAAATCATTGCACAACGGTACTTTCACCGCTTTAAAAGTGTTTTATAAACACTTTTTAACCTTATATTTTTCCTGCAAATTATAACTCAATAATGAACTAATGAAATCCATTAAGATTTTATAAACATTGTATTCTAGTGATTTATAAAAGATTTATTTTGATTATCCATGAAAATTCTACGAAGAAGCAAACAGTCAGTTTTTGCCACAAGATTTTCACTATCAATATTCTTTCTCACAGACATATAAAGAGGTATCATTTATCGTATAAAGTTGATGTCATCCACGTACAGTTCGGTACAGCAACGACTCACTCAAATGGGTGTCTTTTTTATAACTTTTCCTGACAGTTTAAAAATTATGTAGCACTCGTTACTGCTTAAATTCATTACTTTTATCCACAGTACTTCATTAATCAAAATTAAGTTTATACCACACAAACCTTACTAATAATGAAAAACTTGTAGCGAAAAAATGACTTTCACTTTCCATGGAAAAAACATTACTCTAAGATATTCTTAGCTGTTAATTTAATTGGCGAAACCTGCTTGCGCTACTTAATCTCCAGCTATTCAACTCTATTCATAATTTAAGGATCTAATCTAATATCACAAATTATGCAATTTTCGCGACTTGCATAAAATGACAAATCTATTCATACAGTCCAACCAAAATTTCGAGAACAAGAGGTTTGAAATAGAGATGTGACTCACGTTAAACTATCAAACATTTCACAAAATTATTAGAGTAAATGTAATTCAAGGTAAACCGCCAAACATTTTAGAAAATACTATTCGTCTTGCAAGTCAGAACTAGTAAGATGCATTACAGGACCAATTTACCTGTTGCAGCTAAATATGAAAAGATTTTAAAAATAGCGAGAATATTCAATATAATATTTCTTACAAATTGTTTGATTTTTGCTTTATTTTAGTCATTGCATTCGATTTTACATCATTACTTCGTATTATTAGCAATAATTTGAAATAACTAAAAGTATTCATGCTGTAATGTAAAAATAATCACAGCAAATGCTCGAAAGTTATAAACAAGTTTCACAGTTTTTTTCATGGTCTATTCCAACAACTTAAATATGCATAATTAGTATTACTGATCTGCTAAACACAATATTTGCACATTATTTGGTACGAAAGTAAATGTCGAAGTTTGTATATTATCCCGATTGATTCTTAGTTTTTGTGCTCGTTATTTAACTTTGAGGAGCAATATTCTTGCGAAGTAATTTAGTTTGCTTATTTTTTTGTTTAGTTACTACTGCAATTGTACAGCTATTTATTCATTCTCGATGGTTGAATGACAGCTGTACTATTCTATTTCTGTTTGATTCGTTGAGTAATTAAATTTGTTAAAATTTTTGATAGAACAAGAACAGAAATGCTCATTGTTCTTGTTGATTTATTTCTCTAAAATTATATACAGAAAAATGTGTTATTATGTCAGAAGTAAAGAATAAATGTAGTTCTGTAATGACAGAATTTTAAGATTATCTATTTTCATTCAATAATTCTTTTATATAATATCTCTCACACTATATGTCGTGCAGTTATCAAATGTGAATGTTTATTCAAGTAAGTTTTCAACGTATGTTAACTTCAATGATTATATGCATCCTTTCAATCTCATATTCATTTAGTGCTTCTTTGACTACACTTAATGTGTCTGAATGATTTCCTCACTGAAACTATATGAAATGCTTTTAAAAGCATTTAATAATAATTAGAAGGATGAGAAATTTGAGAACAGAATATTTCAAGCGGTTTCAGGAATAAGATTAAAAGTACTTGTATGAAGTCAAGGAATTTCATACATGGTTCAAATAATGATTTAATATTCTTTCCTAATGAAAATATCATCTTATTTATGTAAATGTCGAAAATTGATGAAGTAGCTTTCTGAAAAAAGTTCAACTAAATTAGTCGGTAACTATGCAAGCTGGATATGATGAATATAGCAATGGCAGGCAGGTGTGAAGGGACATAATCTGTGATACAAAGACTAAAATGTTCATTGATGAGCCTTGTTTTTTGTTTCAGAGATTGTGGAAATAGTCGGAATAAGAATTATGTTGTATTAATTACCTGTGATGTTTGTTGATTACTATGCAAATCATCTATCACTTTTCTGTCGAATTTTAAATCGCAGTTTATTGTTATTTGCATAATTTTGTTATTTTCTTAAACTTATTTGATATCTTTATCGCAAATCACAAATTAGATTATCACAATTCATGAATTTTGGTAAACTCATATTTTATTGCATCGAATATTATATATTCTATTTGATTACATATCAAAAACAAGAAGATAGTATGAAGAAAAATTTTTGACATTGTTTATAATGTTAGTGATACCGACGAATGATATTCGAAATACGCAGGCACTGTTTATCAAAAATGAAAGTAAGCTGTTAATGATTTAGGTACTAAATACAAGTGTAGTATTCAGTACAAGCATAATTTGATATTAAATTTAATTTTGTACAAAAATGCTTTCAATAAATAACGAACGAAATAGCTAATGAGTAAGATTTTTCATATAATGATTACAGTTATAAGAAATCTGTCATGATTATTTAAGATTGGTTTTTCATTTTTATAAAATTAAAAATTGTATATGTGGTAATAATTTGCATTATACTGTACAGGAAAGGGAAAATATAAAGGATGAATTGAAATGACATGGATCATTCTTAAACTTTGACTGCATGCGTTCTGGACTTAGGCTAGAAGTTTTTATTAGTTTAATCTGCTGCCAGCTGCTTGCAGACACATGCACTGATGGTAATGAAATGCTATAAGTTTAGCACTTTATAAGATATTAGTGGAAAAAGTTTTCAGCGTGAAAGAAAGAGTGAAAAAAAATCTTTCCAGGCATTAATTATAAGAGTCTATGCAATAATTTTTTATATCAGTACTTTACTAAGCGATTTTCATTTTCAAAAATTTTTGATTAAATGTGCAAGAATATGAAATAATGTCATGACATTTAAATTGATCAGAATCAAAGTTATATTTGTAGTTTTATTATTTGGCTGAAAACTGCTACTGCTTGCAACAATACTAAAATAAACAACTTTATATACTAACAAGGCAATAGCAAGTATAAAATTTATGCATTAATATTTTATAAGCAAATATTTGTCACAAAATTTAATAAATTGACTTTAGTGCAGTAATTACGCTGATCTGTCACAACAAACGAGTGCATTGCAGGTAAGTGTCAAAGTTCACTGCAGACAAGTTTAGAAACTTCCGCGCCGAAGATTCATTTGTGTACCCAACCAGCAAAGGTTTTAAGTATTTCATATTTTTGAGTAATTATCAAAATTTTTATTGTTCTTTTGGGAGTGAAATTTGTAACAATAAAATAAAAAGAATATGGAGAATCTGGATATTACTTTAATTTTCAAATAGTTGAGGATTTATAATAGTTGTTAATAAGAACTATTTTTGCTTTTAAATATTGAACAACTACGAAAAGAAAATTTAGAAATGCACTGTACAGTAATTAATTACTAAAAAATTAAAAAAAAAAAACTTTATTCAATCAATTAAAGTAATTTTTCATAAAATTTTACAGAATTACAACTTTTGCTATTACTCTATACCGATTTTGCAAGTGCAATGGAAACTAAATCGTACTTTTGATACCAATAATAAGCTAGTAATTGAAAAATGCAATGAAACAAAAGCATCTACTTTTGGATTCACTCATCAAATTGATAATTTGGATATACACTACGTGTAAATGATTTTTATTAATTTACATTCCATTCCTTTCAAAGTTGTTTGTCAATAGCAAATTTATACAGTTAATACTGAACTAGGAAAGATTTCATCTGCGCAAAATCTTTAGAGATTCGAAGCAAAAAATAAAGTCTGTGACAGAAGTTTTTTACTATTGTTGCAAGGATTGCAGAGTTGTAAATGTACGTCTTCTATTATCAATAATAGTTATAGAATTTAGTGGTGTTTTTTTTTATCTAAAGCAAGAAATGAATTGCTAAATTTAAGCTAAATACAAAAACTGAAAAACTGTCCAGTTCAACTACAAGCATAATTTATTTAAGGCAATGAATGATCAAAAAATCATGAGCAATATGGCTCAGTTATTGCTTGAAAACTTGCCAGTTCGTGATAATGAAATTTATGAATATAAACAAGGAGAAGAACCACCGTATTGTTTGTATGATGATAGTACGCTTGCGGTATAAAATCTTTTAGTACTAATTTCTGCTTTTTTCTTTATTTTTGTAAAAATTAACTTTTTTAATTAGTTAATTAATTAATTAATTTTTGGAGAAATAAAAATGTTTGGCTTTAAAAGCAATTGACAAAATGGAAAGACTATTGACAAAAATTCAGCTAATTATTACACTTTTAATATTCTTTAATTGTATTTTATTGAATACTTGAAAAGTTTCTCATTTCATTATTTATTAAAAATTTTTTTTTTTGCAATATATTGAACTAGCAATAAAAGATTAATAATTAAGGCAAGACTGCCGGGTATTAATAGATGCGTACTATTAGTAGACGCAAGTGCGTTGAACAGATTTTATGTCGGACCATTTTCCGTATCAGATTTTGATCAGCTAAGTCAATCAGTAGAGCGAGTCAATGTTCGTTTACTTTTTAATCTAGTTGAGATCAAATTGTCAAATATTTTGAGATTTATAATAGTTGTTAATAAAAATGATAACTTGTCTAACCACAGAAATTATTCAAATTTCATTGAATAATTTTAATTAATGTGTTAAGATTTTAATTGAATTACTTTTTAGTATGACCTTTGTCCAAAACTAACACCAAAATTAATTGGTTAAAAACTCATCCATCACTTTTGGTATACTCTTAATTATAATTTCTATTGCAAATAATTATTGCAGAAATCATTTGCTGATGTAGTTACTCAAATATTTCCGAAAATTTGTCCACTAGCAAAATGTGTACATTATATTTCACCTTTGGAATTTTTCTTCTATTGTTGCTGCGATAAATTATTTTTAACTTGTGCTTATACAAGTAGTCCAGAATTGCTTTCTTTTACGAGTATGAATGCAAAATCCTGGGTGGATGATTATTCTTTTTTATCACATCAAGGACATTTTGTGGAGCATTATGCCAGTGGTAGTACGCTGTTTAATGGTCGCCCTTGGATATATCGAAAATTCGTTTATAGTAAACCAACATGTAAATTTCAGATATTATATTATTCTTCTATTACTTCGATGAAACTAAAAAATGACTATCGACTATAAATTCAGTCTTTACTACTTTAATTCTACAATTCTGCACAAACTGTGAAAATCTGTTGCATGAAAGCTGTTTTAGACGATGAAACCTCAAGAAAACTTATTTCTGGCATGAAGAATGTGCGTCTAAACCTCTGCGCTTTTGGTAATTTTAGTGTGATCATTGGTAAGCGAAAAGAGCAAGATTTTCCTGTGAGTATTGTTGATCGAGGAACAGTAATGGAACCTCATGAATTTTGCTATTACAAAGTATCGATTGAATTTCAGAACAGTGATCGTGATCCCCCGTACAGGTGCATAAATAAAACGTATATGGATAGAATCAATCAATCTATTTTAATAACATAAAACATAAAAAGTGCTAGATGATAATTTCAAGTACAATACGATAAGATGAATCTTAAGATGAATCCTCTATTTCTTTTGTGCTAATATGTGCAAAAAACATTTTGATAAAATATGAGATGGCAGTTTTATAAATGTAAATATCTGCAATAAACAAGTTAAAAAATGCACATTGAAGTATGACATTCACGTTTGGAAGTGACGCTAAGGAAATTTGCAAAACTGTTGGCTGTATTATTGAAGGACCTGCTTGTTTACAAGATTTGAAAGTGAAAAGTCATTTCGTCTTCAAATTGAGATGCTGTTGCAACTCAAAGGATATATGCAATCATTTAGGTAATAGACACCGCGAGATTATTGAAGAAATTGTGGATTATAAGTAAGCATTTTAAAATTAAATCAGAGCTATAAATGTAATTTAAGTTTAATTCTTGTTAAACACTTACGAGGCTAGTTACCTAATAACTTTTATTACATAACACTAACGTGTTTTTAAAAAAAAAGGCAGATTCAAATCTAGGTAATTGATAATTAGAAAAAATTTGCAGCTTTTAAAGTCTAGTGTTTCGAATGTTTGCAGTTTTGAATGCTAAAAAAATTAAACTACTGATTTTAACTTTTGAAACAAAAGCATAGACAAAAGTATTTAAAACTTTTGATATCATTTTGAACTTGTTAAAAATTATGATTCAGATATTTTGAATAAAATCTTTTAATCAATACGTGACTTACACTTTTATCACTATATTATTACTATTATTATTTGTTTTTGCTATGATCTATATCATTTACGAAAAAAATGTTCTAAATGGAATACATTAATGAGCTAATTTTTTGAAGCAAAATGATGTTTTAAAATTGCATTGCTTAAAGAAAAGTGTGATTTACAAAATGTTTCAGTACAAGGTGTAATAAGATTTCATCTATCATGCATGCCACATATTCTTCACTATTCATTACAGGCATTCCTTTCCTTGCATAAGCCAGTCGTATTCTTATTTTCAACTGTATTTCAAAAATGAGATATACAGTACTTACGTTATGTGTTCTCGATTTTTCACTTTGCGTTCATATGATGAAGTAATGATAATTGAAAATCATACTTTCGTCACAACAAAAAGCTCAGTGTTTGAAAACCTATTGAAAGAATCGAGAAAATCAAGAAACAAAGAGTGAGTAATAAAATAATACAGATCATATTTTAAACATTTTTTAAAAGATTACATTGTAAACACTATCACGTTTACAATGTAGCCAGCAAAAAAGTGAAGTTCTTACAAGCAAAATAGCTTCAGGAAAGTATAAATAGATGTGCTTCACGCTTTTAATTCATCTGTAGTTTGAAAAAATATTTGATTTCTGAGAGTACTTTTTGAATTTGATCACGAAGATACAAATAAAAATGTATGATTGTTAAAGGATGAATTATTGAGTGCCACTAATACATAATACAAACAACAACATTTGTGTTTTTTCATAATCTCCAAAGACCTCTAATGGGGTTCTATGTAGATAAATCAAGTGAATTTTTATATATCTCAAACAATACTTCTAAAATTTTTCCTTTCATTTTTTCTGAATAACAAAAAATTCAATCAATTTTTAATACAAACAAAAATATAAAAATTATAGGCAGCTGCGTATATGGAAGTGCTTTCTAAAAATGTTTATACCGACTCAAGATCCATTTTGTCGACCTTATATACCTATTGTTTTTAATTTCATCCAATGTTCATGCCTTTCAAATCCAAAATTTCCTGAGGTTACCAATTCTATTTAAAAAACTTCGAGTAAAGAAATTGTAATTTATCAAAGACTATTTTTAATCTCATTGCAATTATAAGCAATTAAAGTAATTAAGAAATTTATGAGGTCACTGCATAGCAAGATTTTCATATTATCACACAAGCTAGCTAGCGAACTAAAATTAGTTTCGATTATATTGAAAGTTCTCAAAATTGGGTACAAAGCAGGACCAAGCACTAAATTCAATCAACCTATTATACAGAAATAAAAATGCTGATAATGTTTTTGCTCACTTTTTTGTCCTAATATTCTTTTTCACAAGCTGGTTTTTTTTTTTTTTTT